TGTGTTGTAGGTCACAACTGTTGGAGTGAGCTTCATTTCCTTCATTCTGTAAAACATTTGCCATGCTTCATCTACCCGGTCAGCCTTGTAAAGAATGTCAATCAAAGAGTTAACAATAATTACGTCTGCTTCGCATCCATTTCTTTCCATCTCTGAAAGTAACTTGATGGCTTCATCTAGTTGCCCCACCTTACTATAGCACTTCATCATCATGTTGTAAGTTACTGAATCTGGAGAAAGCCCACTATATTTTAGCTCATTATAAACATGTTGTGCTTCTTGAAGTCTACCCTCTTCAGCAAGACTGTACAAAGATGCATTACAAGCAACAATATTAGGAACAATGCCTCTAGCTTTCATCTTCTCAAAGGCCTCAATAGCTTTGCCAGATTTGCCACACTTTCCATAGTAGTCAATGAAAAGGATGTATGTGTAAGCAGTTGGTGGAACACCCAGACATTCCATACTGTTGAAAAGATTCAATGCCTCGTCCAACCTGCATAACCGCAGAAGTCCACAAAGTAATGTGTTGTAAGTATGAAGATTTGGCGAGACCCCTTGTTTCCTCATGATATCCAACATACTAAATGCTTCATCAACATTTCCAGCTTTGCATAAAGCATTGACAAGTATGGTGAAAGTAACCACCTCAGGAGCATAACCATCAGCTTCCATTTCACGCCAAAACTCTTTGACTGCGTCCAAGTCTTTCCCATCACTAAACTTGTCCAGCAAAGTAATGTAGGTTACTTGGTCAGGTTTATGACCACTGGATTTCATTTTTGCAAACAATTCCTTGGCATTATCAAGTTTACCTGCAGTACAAAGAGCATCAATGAGAACGGTATAAGTGATAACATCGGGGCCACATCCCTCCTCATCCATTCTCTTGAAAATTTCATATGCCTCATCAATTTTCCCAGCCCTCCCAAGTGCTCTAATGCATATAGTAAAAGTATAAACATTAGGTCTCAGTCCTAAACTTTCCATCTCCTTTAGCAAGCCCATAACAGTTTTAACATCCCTTCTCTTTCCCAATGACACCATAAGTGCTGAGTAAGTCTTCAGGCTAGGCTTAATCCCTTCTGACACCACTCTTTCATAAACCTCCAAAGCCTCCCTACAATAGCCAGACTGAATAAGATTATAGATCAACCCATTGTATGAATACGCATTCAAGATAAACCCAGATTTTCGCATCTCTTCAAGGGCGGATGGCGCTTGTCGAATTCCACCTCTTATATCAAGACCCTTAAAGATAGTAAGGTAAGTGTCCAAATTCCTCTTTATGATCTGTTTTTGCATTACATCAAACACATAAGCCATATCCTCCACCCTCCTATGAACTCTCAAGATTTCAAGCATGTAATTGCAAGTTTCAGTGGTGTGAACAACACTAGGCAACTCAGCAAAGGACTTAAAGAATGAAAAAGCAGATTTAGGGTCTGCAATCGACTTCAAAACCCTCACAACTTCCTCAGAAGACACTGAAATTTTTGGCTTTTTCTTCGCCACCACTACCTCCTGTGAACTCTTTATCACAAACCCACCAAAACCCATCCGCTTTTTCCTCTTTTTTGTCAAGTTCACCAAAGACCTACATGGCCAAGCCTTTAACTTTCCGCAGTTTCTTTCTTTTAACGAACCAGTATGGCTTATTGCAAATATTCTATTGTCAGTAAAAGCAAGACTGTAATTGATACTACTACAGCACATGCTTGCAGAGCATACTATCAACAATGCCATACAGAATACTTTATGAGCTAACGAATGAGCATAAATGAATAACTCACAGAAATCAAAGACGGATATGCATTTTGTTCGTTGAATTTCTTCTGAGAAAGCAAAATAAATGGGAAGGCTTGCAAATGGGCATGTATGTGCTTTCCGCTGAGAGAGAGAGAGAGAGAGCAGAACGCTTGCTGCTATGGTAGAAGATGGAATCGGCTATGGTTCCATTGATGTTGGTCAATTTGGTACTCCAATGATGTAAGCTGTAGTGTAATCATGTATGTGGGGGTGTAGTCGATGGGTGGTTTGGATATTTTGTTGTTTTGTTTGGCTCCAAATCCATTTTTTCCTTTCTTCTCTCAATAAAGAATTGTGAAGAAAGAGGAAACAAAATGAAAAAAACAAAAAAATTAGATGGATATTATGTAATTGGTTATTCTCCATTTATGATTTTTTTTTTGGGAGTTTCACTAAAACACCCAAAATGAGAGTTGAAATTATAAAAAAAACTCAAGCATTATTTAAACATATAAACACACCCAAAACCCATCATTACACACACTCAAAACTCATTTATAAACACACCCAAAAAGTTGACTTTGGGGTTGATTTTGGGTGTGTTTCTATGTTTAAATAGTTTTTGGGTTTTTTTATAAATACATGTCTAGGATTGAGTTTATTTATAAATTTGTATTTTTTTTTTCTAACTGGTCTAATAGAAGCAATATTAGGGTGTGAAATTCAAATACAAAACCTTATATTTACGAGTAAACGTTCTTAATTATTTTTATAATTAAAT